CGCCATGCGATTTCGCGCTAAGATCGTGGATCTGGCCTGCCTCAACCACTTCAGTCGTGAGTATGCCAGGGCGGGGGATGGCTGTGACTCGGCGAGCGACTGGAGCGCCTTTTCCGAAGAAAGGGAAGAGGAAGAGCTGTGCGCGCCGGTGGCCCCCGGCTCGTGGCGGGCGCCGTGAGCCCCAGGCCACGGACCCAGAGGCCTCTCCCGGGGGGAGGCGGCGTGAGGCGCTTTCCTTCGCCCCGAGGTGTTTGGGAACTTCTGCAGTTTCTGAAGACAGCACATTTCTACCCTGTACCCCTGGGACGAGGTGTGCAAAGCGGTTACCGCTGTAACGTCCCCCTCTCTCCGCCAGGTGTAATTAACACAATCGCCAGGTTAGCGAAGACCTGCACCCTGCGCCTTACTGTCAGCAAGCTGTATTTCATCCTCTCCGATAAAGTAGCAAATGGAGGCGTCAGTATGTGGTGTGAGCTGTGCCAGGTAAGCCCGGGGAAATTCAACAACCACATGTTGTTGAAAACCAGAGCATGCAGTTGGGTCTAGTGTACGAGGTGTTTCTTGTACATGTCGCCCTTACCTGAGATGTGTCAGTCTCTCAAGGCCTGTCTGGTCACTGAAGGCACTCTGTTTTGCAGGACTGCCTTTCAGTTGCACACACCTGGTGTTTCTGACTGTAGCCATGCCCTTTGCCTTGGTTGTCACTTCACTGTAAAGCTTCAGTATGTGCTGGCCCACAAGGGCCTGCCCAAAACTGGAAACAGCAAAGCATAACTTGCCCATCACACACCTTGTTCTGAGGACTGGTATGTGTTAGGTGAGAATCTGAAATTAATAGGTTTAGCCTAAAGCAATGGGCCTTCATGCTTATGCAGCCTGTCTTGATTCCTGCAGGTGATGCCAGGTTGTACACATGCAGTTCTAAGCTTAAGGTCTGATAGGTAAAACTTGCTCCTCTGTCTTTTTTTTTTTTTTCATTTGTTTTATTTTTTTTCCCATCTTTCAAAAATTGTAGGGGAATTTCTTTGACGAATTTCAGATGGAAGGAGTAGCTGCAGACCACAATGAAATCTATTTAGAGTTGGTGCCTGAGAACCTGTCGAGAGCATTAAAAACTGCCCAGAGTGCTAAGGCAGTGAAGATCAAGTTGACCAACAAACACTGGCCCTGTCTCAGAGTTGCTGTGGAGCTAGTAAGTGCAAGCATGCTTTTATCTTCATTATTAAGAAAAAGCTCTTAAAAATTAAGTGCTTTTCTTGAGATCAAATAGAAGCTCTGGTAGTCTTTGGAGTAATTCTAGAAAACTAAATAAAGAAAAATAATGCCATTTTCCTTTTCACTCGTCTTTCCTGCCATCATGCTTGGTAGCACAAAGGACCAGCTTTGTATTTTCCAAAAGGCAAGGAAGAGATAGAGGAAGAATGAAAGCTATGTGATGGAAACACCTTTTTCTAATGCCTACTTTTCTCAATTCCTGCATTCTATAAAATTTTCTGTTGATTATTGCCTTCTCACTGAAGCCATTAGGTGAAGGAGGTTTCAGTGTAGTGTTTGGCTCTTCATTTGCTTTTGATTGTCATGCCATTCCATTTCAAACTGCTGTCTTCCAAATTTTTTTTTTTGTTATTAACGCTTCTTCACTGATTCACGTCTTTAGCTCTGAAGATAGCTTATGGATACTAATGACTGATACCCCACAACCTTTTCCTTATTCAAAAGGGAACTCCGCTTGATAGCGGACCAATAGGAACCTATGGAAAACTGAAACTGAATATCTGGGGCAGTCCGTTATAGTATTTCCCAGAGTGGGTCTGAAAAATCTGAATTCAGAACTCAAGTCATTTTTTAACTGCAAGAGCATCCTTTCTCTCCCTCAAGCCGTCCTTATCAAGCAGCAGTAGGTTTGTGACACATGATATTCCTGTGGGGGTTATTCCCAGAAGATTATGGAATGACTTCAGAGAGCCCAGTGTGCCAGACTTTGATGTGAGCCCTCTTTTTTATATTCCCTACGTAAAGGGGGGGTTGCAAGTGGAATGTTATTGCTGTGCAGTGTACTACTGTTGGGTTTTGGAAGGAGGTGACAGGGAAGAGGGAAGGCTGGAGGCTAGGGGTTTGGAGAGGGATGGAACATGACTTCGATCTTGAAAAAAAGAGTCCAGAACCTGTAAAAACAGAGAAGATGGTTACCAGTTATTGCTGTGATATTCGGGGTGGAGGAAGGGAGGAGCAAAGGACTTGCATGGCTTTAGGTAGGAGCACCTCCAAACCACACAGGTTTAGACTATTTCAGCTGTTTAAGGTACCAAGTGGCCCAAATAATCTGTTCTTTCTGAAATTCACGGCCTACTTGGTGGAGTTAGATATCTATGTGTTTCCTCCTGATTTTTATATATCTTCTATATATCCTTTTTGACATTTGTTGTGAGGAAAGGTGCAAATGTGCTCCTGTTTGAGGTTTTGGATGTCTGTTACCTCTACAGCTAAGAGTACTTAAATTCTGAAGACAGATGACTCAGTAGAAATTTGATGTATTTTATTCTGTTATTTTGGATTCACACTGATGCAATTCCAGGAATGATTACAGACAGTACCATGGGAATCATGTTCTTTCCTTTTTGGCTATAGTAACTATTAACTGCTCAGTAACACGGCTCTGGGTTCATGTGAGAATCTAATCTGCAAAAACCTGTCCCTGCTTTATTTTGAAAACAGACTTGGGATAGTATGTATGAAGTCCTCTGTTTCTGAGTCATTTGCTGATTTCAGTTAAATATTGTGCTCCTTTCACTCAGTAGGTAACTGACTCCAAAATAAGATAGAATTGAAGGGAGAAATAAATGCATCACATCCCAGTTGCACATGAAATATTTGTGCAAATGCAGTTCTTATGTCTTTCTAGGTCAGTATTTACCTACCAGTGCTGAAAACAATGAAGAGTGTTGTGGAGAGAATGAAGAATCTCAGCAATTCCATTGTAAGTTAGGGCACTTCAGGTGTGTGTCCTACAGACCTTATCTTAGACATAGCAGGTTTCCCTGTTGCTCAGACTGGTGCCCCCATGTTATATCTTATTTTGGGATGAGATTGAACTAAGGGCACCTGAAGACTGTGTAAGGGCTGAAGAGAATTATGAGCTTTATTTTAGGATTTACACTGAAGAGCTTGTCCTGGGCTTTTCAGAAAGTGGTGCTCTTTGTACTGAATCCTTGAAAGAACATGGCATTGTGCTGCTACAAGTGACTCTTTACAGCTGGTAAGAAATTGCAGTCCTTCAGGAAGCTAGCTGGAGACTTTCCAGGTGATTTCATTAAAGAAATGCCTATTAAGTGAGTCTTTTGTTAGGTGTCTGTGTGAATGAACTTTAGGTAAACTTGAGGTAGGATTTAAAAGAAATCCTACTAATAGCTCCTGGATGTCAGCCTGTGCTTTAGACTCTGACATGGTGGTTTTTCAGTCCACCCTGAGTTTCTGGAGTGCTGGTGGGCCTTCCATTGAAAGAAGCCCTCTGCAGTTAGTCAGAAAAAGGGTTTGGTTTTTTTTTTGTTTTTTTTTTTTTTTTTTAGTTGTTGCTCACAGTCACCAAAATTGACTGACATGAAAGTTAGTAAGTAAACTTTGGAATAGTTTGGGTTTGAGGCTGTTCATACTGATTTTGATAAATGTGTAATTTTCTGTAAACTGAGAATCCTGAAATTGGGACAGTCTCAGTCTCCCAAGACTTGGAAGAGTTGAGAGATTACCCTGGGTTTCTGGCAGTTTTGCAGATGGCAGTCATCATGAGTCACCAGAGCAAGCACTTCAAACTCTTATCCATTGTCAGTCTTTTGGCGGTTTTATTTTTTCTCTCTCCTTCCATATCCTCAGTGGAAGTGCTTACACACAACTAAGCGCAGTGTATAACTGCTTTGTTTCCAGACTTGAGGATCTCTTCTCACATGGGATAGGTGTTTGATGGGATTGAACTTTGGCGTTTAGCAACATTCAGAAGAGGTAGCATATCAACACTGGGCATACCCGTTTTCCTAAGTTCCTTACCTCCTGTTCCAAAGGAAAATAAATAAATCTCTGTGAAATAGCTTTGATAGATCTAAGGGAGGAGGCAGACTACATGCATCCTCCTACATGCTTTCCTGTTACTACAGAACAAAAACAAGTGTCACAATTAAATATTTGTTTGAGACACATCCTGATAGTAAAACTGGTTAAGATCTGTGCAGCAAAAAGGGCTTAGAAGCTCTTTCAAATAGTACTTTGCTATTGTTTGGGACCATTCATCTGTGGGCGTCTCCTGTTCTGTAGGAGATTTTGGTTGTGATACGATCCTCTCTTAAAATTACTGAGAATTCTTCTAATCACAGAACTGAAGTGCTTGGATGTGCTTTAGGTATCCTCTGATCTGCTTGGGGTTTGTGTAAGATCATATATAGTCTCCTTCTGGTTGGATACTTTGTCAGGATGGAATCTGAAAGCTTCTAGCACTTTTCCAGGATTTCTAGCAGTTCAAAGTCCTGCTTGGAGTTACTGCTCTGGTGAAGCTGTTGTATGTTTTTAAGTCTTGGAAAGCAACACTGCAACTGCACAGTCAGCTCTTGGTGTGTCCCATTTTCTCTGTGTGTGTCATGTGGACTGTGGAGGTGCCTTTCTATTTGTTGAAAAGCTGGATACAAAAAACCTTACATTTCTCCAGCTTCAGTCTCTTATTTGTAAAGCCTTTTCCTCAGCCATGAACTTCCCAAAGCCAGTACTTGTTCTAAAAGTGCTAGAGAGCAATTTAATTTCTTTCTTTTCGTAATCTCCGGGAGGTTTGTCTAGGATAATTCACACAGGAATGATGAGAAATGCATTTTGTAGCTGAACATTTGAATGTTCAAACCATGTTCAAAAGGTACACTTGAGCTGTGAAGGCACTGAAATGCTTCTGGAAGCTTGTATTTGAACAAAGCTGTACTTCATTCTTCTGTAATTCTGCAGTGCCAAAGTGGCTTGGCTAAAATTGAGACTGATTGTATTGCAGGTGATTGAAGCAAATTTGAGCGGAGAAATGAACTTGAAAATAGAAACTGACTTAGTATCTGTAACAACACATTTTAAAGACTTGGGAAATCCTCCCTGGGGTAAGTTTCCCTGTTTGTTGCTTCTGTCTGTCTCACTACTTAAGTGTGATGCTGATAACAGTACTTACCTTCTGTTAGTTCTTACAAGATAGCATAAATTACTTTGTAGACATCTTCAAATGAAACCTTAAAAAGAAAAGTGGCCAATGGCTGTTTCATGTTTGTGTGGGGAATCTCTTCCAGTATCCTCGACAACTTTGTAGGAAAAGTGGGCTTTCTCTTCCTTACACTGCTGTTTCTGAAAAACAACCCATTTGGCTACCAGCTGTTCAGTGATTATCAGGTGTGTCCTCAGGTGTTGAAACTCCTTCTGATGTCTTGACTAAGTAAGTATTGTGTTGTTATGCTTCTAGCATCAGAGGATGGATGTCAAAGTTCTGCTCAAGGCAGAGATCTGGAAAGCATGGCTGAGGCACGCATAGATATCAAGAAGCTGCAGCAGCTGCTTGCTGGACAGCAGGTCAATCCCACAAAAGCATTGTGCAGTAAGTTCAACAGCTCTGCTTGCAAACTCCAGTTAAGGGGGGGGTGTTTGCCATGCTTGTAGTCTCAGCAGAACAGCATATCTTCTGTTTTGTCTGTTTGAAACCTATTTTTAATGTACTTCAGGACTTTTAATACTTCTGGCTTTAGGCAGTAAGTTTGAGGCCTTAGGCGTTTGGGGAAGAAAAAAAAAGTTAAAAAAAAATTAAGCGCGGCCCTTTTTTAAGTATCAAGTTGAATACTCTGATTAATCATGGGTGTCTTCTTGTTGTCTTTGTTTTGAAGTTATTATTTTTATTATTATTTTGAGGTGTAGGCCCTAGTTTTTAGCAGAGAAACTGGGATTTACTGACATGTTTGGTTTTGGTTTTTTTCTCACATTTCTTTCTTACATTCAGCACCAAATTGATTCTAATACCAAAATGCTTTTTATGCAGCTAGTGTTTCTAACCATAGAAATTATATGTTCTTTCTAGCAGAAGCCTATGCAAGGGTTTATATCCTGTTTTGATAACTCTATATGCTTGTCCTGAGAACATCTGTGTGTTATGGTTTAGTGCAGATGCTAAGAATTTCCCAAAGAAGATTTAAATCACGGGTATAGCATTATAGGGCTATACATTATATGTTTCCTTTTTGGTATCACCTTTCATAGACTGTTTAGTAATGCTTCATATACCCTCAAAGACTTAAATATTACAGGATTATATGTCTAGTCATCCTTCTGTCAGAAGTGGTAGAAACATTGTATTCTTATGGTGGCATTCTGTAGGAGATGTAGTTTTAACATATTCTTCCTGCTTTAAACTAGATTTGTGGTTTTTTTCTCTTTACAGGTATTGTAAGCAAGAGAATCGTCCACTTCATCTTGCTCCATGAGGATGTTTCACTTCAGTATTTTATTCCGGCACTTGCATGAATGTTTTGGAATCTCAGTCATTTGCCAACCTGAGGTCTTTTCCACAAAGTTGGAAAACTTTCATGAGTTGCTGGAGTACTCTTATGTGATTTGCTATTAGATGCAGCCATCAGATGGACATTATTTCCATATTTATGAAATTTTTCAAAGTATCTCCTCATCCAGAAAGCTGTTTTTGTGAAGAGTTGCATACTATGAAAGACACAACACTGGGGAGCTGGCATATCTGAGTGTTATGGGAACCAAAACTGAAATTTGTATGTGCTTTTGGGATGCTTTGAGCTGTGGGGAAGGCAACCTAATTATTTTTTTTCCTGTTGACAAACATGAAGGTAAAATTGACTGCTGGAGCTGCTGCTGGGTGTATTCAGTATTGGACAATGCAGCTCCAAGTTAAGGAATCTCCTAGCAAGCTGTCATACCTCCATGGAGCAAGAGAGCCCTCTGGAGGGTTGACAGATTGATATTTGCCTGGGGAGGTAAGCACAGCCCCCCTGAGGCGGACTTCTGTTCCAGCAGTGATGTATATGGACTTGATGCTGCTGCATGTTGTGCATCAAGAATGTGTCTGAGGCAGAGGAGCTTCCTGTGGCTGCCAGCATGTAACAGGATGTAACATGCTAAGAAGAACCAACAGCTCAGCAGTGTCTGTACCCAGTTGTATCTTTTGATCTGACTTGTTCCAACATACCTCAGTAGTTCTGTTAATGCTTGAACTGATGTGTTTGGCTCTTGGCCTGAGAGGATGAGATAAACAGTCTGAATTAACCTAGTTAATGTGGGCAGTGAAGGTCTCTATGTACAGAATGAATATCATCTGAGGACATGTGTGAACACAGCAATTGGTGTGAAATAAAGGGCAAGTTATCTGTGGATCACATTTTTTCCCTTTCCTACAGTGCTACAAAGCATTGTACAACCTGTGTTGTCATGGTGTCAGACATGGTGAGATTGCATCTAGGCTCTGATTCTGAGCAGCCAAGAGCACGACATAAGTCTCAGTGACAGGAGTACTGCCCCTGCTTCTACTTCCTGGTTATCTTCTGAGGTCTTTTCCTCCCTGTTCCATATGTGATTATATTTGTTATCCAGCCTTGTTCCATATAGCCTTTGGTGTTCCACAGGATTTTAAATATCTTGTGAAACTTCTTGTTTTAGAAATAGTGAGTCTTTGTCTTGTTGTGGTTAGAAGTGTTGGTGTTTGGTTTGTTTGGGCTTTTTTTCCAAGGGGCATTGAGGTTAAGGGAGCAATTAATCTTTCTGTTCTTGCAGATGCAAGTGGTCGAGAGAAGACTGAAGGAGAGGCAGTGGCCTGGGAATGTTATGCTTCTTCACCTTCTTCCACCATTTCTATCAGACTAACCAGAAAGCATCTTCCAAATCCTGTTAGTTTTCATGGGCAACTGCAATTACCCAAAAAATTTGTGTAAGATGAAAACACCTGTACACCAGATTACAGCAATTGTATGGTAAGAGGTATGTGGTAAATATTCCTGGGTTTTCTCTCGGGGAGAGGAGGAAAACTGTGATACAGAGTATGCACTATGAAAGTAGTCTTTGAAATCTTTGGGTTTTCTCCTTGGAAAATTGTGTTCTATATAACCTGATGGAAATGTCTTTTTCTGGTATAGCATAAGATCTAGTAATAATGGCCTCTCAGCTGTGCAGGCTCTATGATGGCTATTTTTAAAAACAGACCAGAAGTTACAATTGCAAGAAAATGTGTTGGGTTTTCTTAATAAAAACTAAATAAAAGTGGGAGTAATGCTGGTATACGTCAAGAGTACACAGTAAGATATCCATTTCATATTCTGGAGGGGAGGAGGCTAGATGGACAAACAGGTGAAGTTTTTCCAGCCCCAGTGCTTTCTTACCCTTCCCACCTAAATACAGCACAAGGATAGAGCTCTGCCATCCAATTGGTGCATACCTGCTGATCAGAGGGAAAATAATACTTATTCAGGTTTAAACCTGCTGTCATCTGTGAATCCAGTTGTCAGAGCCCTGAGGGCAGTATTGGGTCTTAATGGCCCTGAGCACCCTCACCAGGGACCCCTACCCACCCCCTGTCCATGGGCCCATAGATGCTATTTCAGCTGAGGTTGTGGCATTCTGTACTCCCTAAGTTATGTTATAGGTGGGCCTGGGCCCAGCCCTATTCCTCAATTGATGTTTGGATTTCCTGGATTGGCTTTGGATGGGAGCTATTATTCCCGTAACCTGGTTCCGCTTGCCTGGTTGTGCGGGCATGTGCTCCAGCTGTAGGGGTGCTGCCTAGCCTGCATTGTGGCCGCCCTCTGCTGGCTCCTTGCTCCTAGAGCAGCCTTGATCTTCTTGCTCCCTAACACCAATAATGAGAAGAAATATTTCTCATTAATAGCCTTAGCTGGTTCCACATGATGAACCAATTGATTTATGCCAGAAAATTTTTGTTGTGGCTTGAGCCACCAAGAGAAAACAGAGTTATGAGCCACTGGTGGGACTACAAAATAACATCCAGCTTCTGTCACACACTTTGTTCTCCTAGTGGACTTTTCTGTTACAGGATGTTAGCAGCTCTGGCCCAGGTCTCCTCCTGCACAGCTGCTGGAGCCCAGCCTCTGGTACCTGGGTACCAGGGATGTGTATGTCCTGGGCTGAGGGATGTAGCTGTTGCTTTCCCACTTGCAGGTTCAACCAGCAGTGAAGCTGAGCTTGTGTCCCAGAGACATGACAGACACACCCAGGATGCTGACATGGCTGGTCACAGACTGCCACAGATAAGCTGTGCCTTCAACTGCATTTACATACAGGACCCACGTAAAACAAGCACAGGTAGCTGTATCCCCTTCTTCCTCTTCATCTGGCAGACACAGAAGGTTACTAGTGCAGAATCATAGAATGTTTTGGGTTGGAAGGTATCCCTAGAGGTCATCTAGTCCAACACCCCTGCAGTTGGACTAACTACTAACTAACCACTAACTAGATCAGGTTGTTCTGAGCCCTGTCCAACCTGGTCTTGAATGTTTCCCGGGATGGGGCCTCCACTACCTCTCTGGGCAACCTGTTCCAGTGTTTTACCACCCTCATTGTAAAGAATTTCTTCCTTATATCTAGTCTAAACCTACCCTGCTTCAGTTTATTACCCCTTGTCCTGTCACAGCTGTCCCTACTAAAAAGATTTTCCCCATCTTTCCTATAGGCCCCTTTTAACTACTGAAAGGCCACAATCAGGTCTCTCCGAAGCGTTCTCTTCTCCAGGATGACATAACATACCTCTGTGTGTGTCTCCCTTTTCCTTATCATCCCTATATTAGGATGTGCTCAATCAGGTAACCTTGCTGGAATAAACATTCTCACACTCTCACATGAACTGCCTCTTTTACCATTTGTTCATCAGTTTTGTGTCCCTTTATGTTCTTGTTTATGGTTTCCTCCTCTTCTTCTTATCCCTTTTGTGCATTTGAAAGGTCCTTGACCAGATACCCTTAAAGGAGCAGACACTCTTCTTCCACATATGCTTGCAGTTTTCAATCCTTTCATCCTTCTTATTCTGAAGACTAGTGTTATATATGTCCATCTGATTCGTGTTAATATGGAACAGTGCTAGGGCCGCATGATGACATACCCTTGTATAACCACAAGCCTAAGAAGGGCAGAGAGGTTAATGTATGTAGTTCTTACCTTGCACATCCCCCAGCCGCCTCCTCACAGGGGGAAGGGGAGGGGGGCTGGCTGGGCACCGGGGCGGCATCGGCCCCAGCCGCCTCCTCACGGAGGGCTGGCCCGTCCCCTGCCGGGCACCTCAGCCCA